ACTCTATGAACTTTGATAAATGTCGATAGCTGTAGAGGGGCTTCAAGCCTTTTGTTCATAGGGTCGCTATGAGTCATGCTTGACTTCAAGGCAATCAACAACAACAATGCACACATACAAACACAGAAACACTAGAGAAACACACACACATTCATTCATTCATTCTCTCTCATTGTACAGTAAAGCAACTGACACTTAACCAAAAGGCCAGCAGTCTGAATCCACCAAATGCTTTTTAGTAGATGTCATAATCTGCTTCCATAACAATTTTAGCCTTAGAAATGCTGCTTAGCACTTCTACTCTGTTCTAGTTATGTATTAGAAATTAATTGCCTTGATAGTAATGGGTACATACATGCTTCCAACACATACACAGAGAAACAGTACACATTAGTACACCCATATGTACCATTCATTTTCTCTCTGATTTTCTGCAAACTGTGAATCCTGAAAAAACTTAGCAAACTATGAATCTTAAAAAAGTTAACATTATGTTGGTACTAACCATAATTAGAAACACACTTCCACAACAATTTACTAGATTTCTTCTATTTTATCCCTTACAGCATAGGAAATCCAGGAAAGAATTCATATAACTGTATACTTTGTTCACAAGATTTTCAACCAAATAGAAGTGGAATTAATATAACATGTATTTGTAAACATGAGATTTACAGGTAAAACACCTGATCTTAGAAGCCTTTCTATTTCATGAAATGGAAATAATGGCACAATTACAAAACTTCCATGATTCATTACATTATTGTTTCAACTAGAAGTAGTACATTTGGAGTCCTCCTGGTCTATATGTGTTTCTTTGCTAGCTAATATTTACCAGTATCTTTTTCTGTAATAATCTGTAACCATGAGGGAAAAAAATGAAACACAAAATAGTTTAATGCCGCGATAAGAAGCAATTTAGGGTTTTGGCACTAATCCTTCTTTGCACAAACACATACATGTGCTACCAGGAAGGCTTCAGGGGAAAACTACCTCCTTTATTAAACATAGAGGAGGAGAGGACCTGATGTCCTTAGAATACTTGATATATATTTCTTAAAATAACGGCATAAATAATAAATTCTGCATGGCTGGGTAGTTAATAAAACACAAGGCAGGTATACTTTTACTACCCTATGGTGGAGGACAAAAAAAGGTTAAGAGTGGATAAAAGAAATTTTAACTGAAAAGATAAAAAAAAAAGTCCAAATTAATGAACAGTATGGATTCTGCTCTTTTGGTACACATTAGTTCTAATCTAGTTACTTCTTAGCTATGTGGTATTTAGCAGGTACTTAATTTGCTATGCCTCAGTTCTTTCATCTGTAACCAAAGCAACCAACTCAAGGGAATAGTATAAAACTAAAATGGACAAAGACATATCTATTGGTTAGTGTCTAATTTCCTCCCTAGGTTGTTAGTTTCCAAGGACAAAGACCATGAATGACTAGTATCTCACATCACTGTCTACTAAGTTACCTCCAAAATGCCTCGCATATAACAGATGTTCACTAAATGATGACTAACATCAAGTACTTAATTATGACAATTATACCTATTATACTGTGATCTTAAAAAGAAAAACCTAAAACTGTGATCTTAACATGGCATTTTAATAAATTCTACTGCACTCTGAAGAGATCCAAGATTGTTGATTGGTTCCTTATTTCAATGTTGTTACGTGCCATCAAGTCACCTGCGACTCATAGCAATCCTATGTGCAGCAGCTCTGAAACCTGCTTTATCCTGAGCCAACCTTATTGTCTCTGACACGATTACCCTCATTACTCCAGTCACTGAGTCTATCCATCTCATCAAGGGTCTTCCTCTCTCACTCCCCAAGCATACACTGATAAAAAATTAATGCTACTCCTGACTAGAGGTGAGATCTAGTGGCCCAGAGGCAAAACGCTTCGCTGCAGTTCTGAAGGAATGCAGTTCTAGGCCACCAGTTACTCTGCAGGAGAAGAACAGGCAATCTCCTCCCTTGTGATTAACTGCCTCTGAAAACCCACTGGAGGGTCAGCTATGGGTCTGTTCCAACTCTACAGTACACAACAATAACAGCAGCACCTGACTAGAAATTGTATTAGTAAGAAGACCCATAAGACATTCTAAATCTGTAAAAAACCTAAGATTTAAAAACCACTCTCTTGGAGATATAAATATCTAATAGAACTAGTTACATAAATAAAGTATCAAATTTAATACTGCAGGAAAATGGAAAAATAAATCTCTCTCTAAGCAGTGGTTCTCTACCAAATCAATCAGATCCTACTGAGTTAATTCAATTTCCTGGAAACCTTGTGTTGGTCAGGAAAGAACTGGGCTTCCACAGCCTTTTTAAATGGCTTATTTTTAAAAAAGGAGATCACCAGGCTTTTCTTCTGAGGCACCTATGAGTAGATTTGAACTTCTATAAGCAGTCAAGTGTGTTTGCCACTGCTCTACCCAATAATATCAATGACTTTTCAACAACAGTCGATTTTTCCCTGAGAGGATATATAACAATATTTGGAGATACTTTTTTATTGCCAACATTGTGGAGATGCTACTGGCATCTAGTACTCAGAGGCCAAGGATGCTACTAAACATAATCAAAAATAGAAATTCTCCTAACAAAGAATCATTCCCTTCAAAATGTCAATAATGCTGAGTTTGACAGAGTAATTAATAAGGAGAAGGAACAGAGAATAGTAGGCGCAATGTCTAAATATGTACAAGTAGCTTAGCTTTAATGTTTTATAATTTCTTGAATGACTATTATGGCAACTTGTTTCTATTTACCAAATTTTAATTTTTAAAAAAAATTTTATTTTATTATTTTGTGTGTGTACAATCAAATTGGATCTGACAGGTACAGGAGGAGATTGCACCTCCTTCTCCAGCACAGCATCTGGTGGATTTGAACTGCACCCCTCTGGGATTACAGTACAGCTTCTTGCCACTAGGCCACCACAGCTCCATCAAATTTCAAATTTTTTAAGAGAGGCTTAAAGACATGTAAGAATTTTTAAAGTTTCTTTTCAATCTATCCCAGGTAAAAAATGATCTCTCTGAAAATTATTTTCAGTCAGTGAAAATATACAAAAATATTCAATAGTTTTGAAGAATCATGCATATAATGCAGTATTTTCAAGACTTACAAATTGAGTTTTAATTTTCATAGTAAGAATGTACAGAGCCACTTCAATTGAGAAGGAAAAAAGTGAATATGACTTGTGATTATTTTATTAGTATAGGTAGTCCCCAGGTTTCAAAACTTATAATTTACACATACATACTTTAGTTATAAACCAATTCTTCTTAAAATCTAGTATGTTAAAAATTCTGTCTGAGGCATATACAATGGTTTGTAATAACAAATAGATGCTATTTTGTAATACTTATCAAAACCGTGTTCCTACTATACTGTTACAGAAGCTTTTACCACCATATTGTTATAGCTTTGGTGTGTATGAATGTATTTCTTTAATGATTTTTATGCATAAAAAGGCACAGGAGATACTAAGACAAACATTAAGACTTACTTTTAGATACCATTCCTAACTTACAAGTGACTTACATACAAACTCAACCAAAAGATAGATTTAGAATCAGAGCTCATTCATAATCTAGCGACTGCCTGTACAGTGATTCTGAAAAGATAAAAACTCAAATTCATTGCCATGGCATCAGAACTGACTCCTAGCTGACCCCTCAGTTGGCTTCCAAGGCCATAAATCACATAGGAGACTGCCCATCTTCCTCCCATGGAGCCACCTGGTGGATTCAAATACTACAGAGGGTGGCCTTTTGGTTAGCAGTACAACTCCCTATGGACAAGACCAGTGCTCCCTTTGAAAATACAAACAAGATTTAAATAATATGTTAACTTTAGTCATTCATATGGGCATAGTAAAAGGAATAGTGTTTCTGCCATTACGCTGCCTTTTCTTTGATATTCTACTATTTCTTTATTAATAATCCCACTTCAATTTTATTTCTAACTCATGTTTTGTTAGCACATGTCTCTTAGTAATCTATTATAAACCCTGAGGTGGTACTACACATAGCCACACTGCCATCAAGGGGGAACTGACTCATAGTTGACCCTCCAGTGAGTTTTCAGAAGCTGAAAATCACACGGGAGGAGACTGCTCATCTTTCTCCTGCAAAGCTGCTATAACAGTTAATTATATAAAGTTCATTAAGGCAGTGAAAATGTAAAACATTGGCTACTATCAGAAAGTAGTTATATTAGCAAAGAGATGTGAAATCTAGAGGGTAACAGATTTTAAGTAATCTTTTTGTATCTTCTGAAATAATAGCAATCTTTGATCTCATATTTGAGTACTTGGTATTAAAATATAATAAATCACTCTTTTTAAAAAAAAAAATTAACCAAGTATTTTTTAAAGTGGTTCAATAACAAACCAAAAGTTATGCTAGAGTCACCTGGCTAAGGCAATTATTCCAAAGGTTTTGTAAAACAGAAAAGTGTCTTTTAAGGGGGGAAAAAAATCCAACTCCATCAAATCAAGCCTACTACCACAGAGTCTATTCTGATTCATAGCAACCTTCCATCAGATTACTGGGGCTGTAACTCTCTAACGGAAAAGACTGATGGATTAAAATGATTAACCTTTTGGTTAGTAGCCTGACCCACATTATATACCATGCTACTAGGACTCCTAATTTTTTAAAAAGGTCTCAAGGTTTATTTCTGTATTACTAAGTTGAATGGATGAGGAGAGTGGCAATCTTATTTTGCATCAAAATTCAAGTGCAACTGCACAGTTCTGTCATATATCCTGAATCTGGAAAGTATGATGAAAATCTTAACTGTCTATTAAAACCCTTTTTGGCAATCATTCAACTTCACACAAAAAGCAAATTCAAGTTATAGTCCTTAAAGACTAACAAAGATTCTTCTAACCTGAATTTTACATTTAAAAATACAGACAATTGGTTGTAAATGTGTTATCTGTCCATTTAACAATTTACAAAGTGATCCATACCTCTTCAATACCAGCAATATTATTCACAGCCAGTTTTTTAAGAGAACTCTGAAGCTTTTTGTCATCAGCTGTAGCTGTTCTATGTACCACCTTCTTCTTTCTGCGAGCTGTACCCTGAAAAATGCCAATACAGAAATTTTAGCTCACCCAGGACCTTACAACTGCAATCACATGTCTTCTGTTTATATCAAACTAAGATCCACATGACAAACTATTCAATTTGCTGTAAGGTCCCATAGAGTCAAATACAACTTATAGCAACCCCATGAGTAACAGATCTGAATCCACTGACTAAATAGTACCAATTAATAAAGATTGCTAAGAATTCTGATTGTTGGTCTAGCCCACATTTTTGAACATTAATTCTATCCAGTTTTTACTTTTTTTTAGCCAGTTCTTCTTAACCAAAATCCTTCGTTATTTTAATACTACTTTGTTTCAAAAAAACAAAAACAAACTGCTAATAATATTTGTAACTTCAAAACAATTTAGCACCCACTATAAACAGATTTCAAATGTTATAAGGAATGCTAATACCAAAAACCGCAAACCAATTCATTGATTTTAACTCATAGTGACACTGTAGGACAGAGCAGACCTGCTGTATAGGGGTTTTCAAGGCTCTAAGTCTTTATAGAGCAAACTGTTCTTTTTTCCAACTGAGTAATTGGTGGGTTTGGAATGACAATCTTTCAGTTAGTAGCTGCGTACTTTAACCAGCATACCACAGTGCTCCTTATGGTTTCCAATAATACCTACCGATCTCTTGGAATAAAGTCCAAAGATATTTTGAAACTTTGGAGCGTATAACATAATCAGTAATCAAATGCCTATACATGAATGTTCTCAGACTTTAAAATCCAGGAATGAAAAAGATCAAAGTTCTCCAAGTTCCTTCAAGAAGCATACATTACGGTGGGAGGGAAAAAAAATGTCAACAAATGAGACAATTTCAAATGTGCTAAGGGCTGTTGTTGTTGAGTCGAGCAGGATTCATACACTATGAACAAAAGGCCTGAAACCTTTCTATAACTACCCACATTTATCAAAGTTCATAGCTTCCAGAGGCATCTTGTTTAGGAAGTGGATGCCACTCCTGGCTCCAAAGGGGGGGGGGGGCGGCAAAATTTGGTTATTAGTGATTAAGAAAGGACAAAGAAGTACTTGATGAGAATGTGAATGGAACCAGTGAGTTGAGACCATTGGAAAGAAGAATGATCCAAGCAGAAGAAATGACAACAAGCAAGCAAGACAGCATGGCAGGAATAGAATGAACAAGGAGAAGGGGAAAATTAAACAAAAATGAGGTTAGACTACAATGCTGTGAACAGAAGTTGGATTTTTTTTTCTTTTCCAACTGCTTTAGGAAACCACTGGGAAGGTTTAAGCATGAGAATGACTTGCTAAAAGGTGAGTATGACTGTTGAGTGGAAAATGAACCGTAAGATCAGTGAGAAGCCCACTGTAACATTACCAGTGACAGATGAGAGTTGTGGAGGAGGTGGCGAGTGGTGATTCTAAGACAAGCTAACAATTCTTGTGAATAGAGTGGATGTAAGATAGGAGACAGGAAATCTGGGATGATGCTTAAAATTATGGCCTGAGAAAACAGTATGAAAATTATACTACCTACTAAAATGAAACAGTTTATTTCCAAATTTATTTTGAAACTCAAAGCATTTCTCCATTGAAAGATGATTTAAAAGGATAGATTAAGTCCCTAGAGCAATTTACAGAAATGTGACCAAAAGCAGAAGTGAAATACTACCAAAACCAACCTAAGTCTAGAGAACTCAATCTTTCTACAGTGTGACCAGATTATGGAAGAAGAGAGACCTCAATTTCTGGGTGGCTTCTGAACTATCAGCTTCAGAGAGTAGAGGCAAGGACCCCTGCTCTTTAAGGCTGATGATCTGTGGTGGGCATGGAAGAAACTCTGAGTCTCTGGCTGATAACAAAAGCCACGACAAGATCTAGCGGCTGATATATGGAACAGCAATGACTTCTTGCACAGATGGCCATTTATTTATGAATGCTCCCAATTTAGGGATAGATAGCACACATGCTGCAAACACCTAAACTCTAATGATTTTCAGGCCCTTCATATTCAAATGTCTAAAAACACACCAGTCTACAAACCTAATCTGCTATTTTTTAAGTTGTGGAGCCACTATAAATCCAGTCTCTAAAACCAGAAATTTGGGAATCATCCCACATTTCATTCTTCCCTTCATCCCTCATATCCCTTCAGTCACTGAATCAATTATAACACCCAAATATGTGTCCCAAAATACATCTAGAGTTTCTTGGTCTCCTCTATTCCAAAACTTGTTTCATTCCATTTTCCAAACTACTAGAAGTTATTATTCCAAAATGATAGTAATTTCTTAAAACCTTTCAATACTAAATCCCCTCACTACTTACAGGATAAAAACTAAAGTCCTAGGTATGGCATATAAGTCTTTACATGGCCTAGCCTCAAATTATCGGATCCAGTTTAATTTCCATTACATACTTTAAACTCTAGCTGTACTGAACTAAACAAGTCATTCTATTTAAACACTACATTATCTCACTGGGTGCCTCTGTATGTGTGAGAATGACAATGCTCTCCCTCCCTAACTCTCATTCTTATTTATCCTCTAAGTATGTGTCCCTTTCAAGATGAGCTAAAGAATCTTTTTTTTTTAATCTAAGTGTCAAGCACATATTAGGTACTCAACGAACATCAGTTAAATGAATACGAATGTACTAACTACATGGTTTTAAGATATATAACTGTGATATACTTTATCAAGCTCTTGCAGGTTTATTTGTGGTTCTTGAATACTTTCACCCTTTGCTTTGGCATACTATAAACAAAAAAAACGCCCCCAAATTCCAGCTGAGTTGATTTCAACTTGCAGCAACTCTTTACGAATGTGTTAATTATGACTCTAGAGTCATAAATTACCAGTATTTAAGAAGTTAAAAAAAAAAGTAGAGAGTATTACTGAATTCTTTCTGTGCTCCATTAGTATCTCCAGGACATCTGGTTATCATCAAAATAAATGGCTCAGTGGAACAGCTACATGAAAGCAGTATCCCCCAGTCCCACTCCCAAACCTGAAGTGCTAGCCTCCTGCTCCCTAAATTTGTACTGGGCAGAGGTAAGAGTGAAGTATTCTCCTTAAGCCTGGGCTACGGCTAAAGGAAACCAAAGTTTGCTGCTCTAAAACCAATTTTCCCTTAGGCTTTAAGGTACAAGGAATGAAAAAGTTCCTAAGGCTTCAACATATTTACCAACAAAGAGGTAAGACTTGGAAGGAAGCCCTAGCAGTGAACAAAATGTGCAACCTGTTAGATTAACACTAGTCAAACATTTTGTAAACCTACTATATAATAGATATCGTTTGTTATGTGCCATCAACTCAGAGCTGACTCTCCAGCAGATTCTCAGAGGCTATAAAATCACACAGAAGGAGTCTGTGCATCTTTCTCCAGAGAAAATAGGTATATATGATGGGAGTATATAGCCCCTTGAGGAACGCTTTCATCTGGTATGACCTTTTGAGGAATCAAACATAATAATCCAGTTATCATCAAGTGAACTGAGTTATGATGACTCCAGTCAGAGCAGAAATGCACTCTAACATGCAGTTATGAATGGCTGATTTTTCTTTCTTCTGAGGTGCCTGTAGGTAAACATAAACATCTAGATTTTTTATTAGCAGCTGTGCACATTAACTGGACTATGTTGTATATCTAGTATAATACTAACTATCGTTTACTGGGTATCCACTCTGATCCACACTAGACACTAGCTGGATCATTTCTATTTTACAGATGAGAAATGGTTTTAATGAAGTTGAGAAGCTGCTCATGTAACATAGCTAGCAGATGTTAACATAGCAGGATTTAAAGGTGGCTAACTGTATCACATTATCAGTCAGAAAAATCTTTTAGCTACTTATTTTAGAGCAAGGCAAGTTATTTTCAAACTAGAACATGGTTTCTTTTGATTACTGAAAAGATCTTAGATTTTCAATAAACACAAATTCAAAATAAAATACTGTCTGATAATGACATTCTCCTATGAATTTTTCTTACGCCACACTCACCTTGCCCCCTATCCGGACCTGAGCCTGCAGTTTGGCTAACTTTTCTTGATTCATTCTGTTGGTAAATCTAGGGGGGGAAAAATACATTTGTTAAAGTCACTGCTTTACCAAAATAAAATATTAAGGTGAATAGTACCTTCTGAGATTATGATATGTATCATGATTACCAAATTAATATACTTACATTCTTATGATATTAATAGTTTGTTCTAGTTGCATGAACCAGATATTAAGAATATTAAATTCATATAATGCTAAGAGGGACTTGCATAGACAATCATGAATGAGATTCATAATTGTTGTTGTTGTTGTTGTTATGTGCCGTCAAGTCGCATTACCTATTTGAAAATCCCTTCTAAAAACATGAGTTACTATCCTGGCATTCAGTAGGTCAAATCAAATAAGAAACTTTTAGAGGAAAGCCACTTTTTACCCCTGAAGAATTTTACAGCAAAACTGTTTGCAAATATTAACAAAAACTTCAATCAGACCCTTCTCTCCAAAATCACCTTATTTCTTATAAAACATAAAAAAACCCTTACAATCACCCGGCGCTGGCTGAAAATCGCCTGTGACTTCATTCATAGCCACTGGTGAGAGTCAGCGCCCAGAGCCATCAGGGGCTTTAAGCTCGTTGCCCACTGCTGTGGTGTGGACAGCTGAAACCCAGGCCCCGACAGGCCCCTGGGGGGGGGGAACCCAGACTCTACTTCATGCTCTGCAGGAGAAGGAGGGGCAGTCTCCTGTACCAGTCAGATCCAATTTGATGGTATACACACACACACACACACACACACTCTTTTTCTTCTTCTTTTTTAAAAAAAGACTACTTCAGCCGTCGCGGCCCTCTGCCCGCGGCGGGCTGCCCTCAGCCCCCTGCCCGGGGCGGGCTGCCCTCGGCCCCCGGCTCGGGGCAAGCCGTCACGGCCCTCTGCCCGGGGCGAGCCGTTGTGGCCTTCTGCCCAGGGCAGGGTGCACTTGGCCCCCGGCTCGGGGCGAACCGTCGCGGCCCTCAGGAGCAAGAAGGCAAGCAGCTGTAACCCAAGACCACCAGTAAGGTGATAAAGTGTCCTCCCTTCCCCCCTTTATATCTATGCCCCTGTTCAGCATGAAGAAGCCAGAGAGTCGGCATCCAATTCCCAAATCAATAAGACAGTTGGTTTAATTACTATTGGAAAATGCTTGTCATTCCTCTGTAGCATCTGGTCCCCACTGGACCCTCATCATTTCCTTCACCTGGTCCCCCCACTGACCAAACTGTGCAGCTCTGCAACTGCCTCCTGGCCCATCCTCACCCTTCTGCCCCCAACCCTCACCTCCTTGTACCCCCAATATGTTTTTCCCAGTAAAAAAAAAAATTTTAAAAAAAACCAAACAAACCCTTACAATCAAACTCAAAATCTGCTAGACAAAGAAATTCAGTAATAGGCTGTCTAGCTGTCAAGATACTATGTAGTAATGTCCTCTATTCAAGGTCAGATGGTCACCTTGTTAATAATAGGTAAACAGTTTTCCAGACATTCAGTGTTTCTGCAGTATTCAACACAACTCATTCAATATCTTGCACTATGAAGAGTCTGTCATCCTCGTCAAGGTATTCTAGAAGTATACAAGGTGAAAACGCTTCACTGCCCAATCAGATCAAAAACATCCAGCTAGACATGCTAAATTTATAGGGGAAAATGAAGCTAAAAAATAACTTTTTAAAGTTACTGTGACTCTGAAAATTCTAACATTTTTAGAAAGTCATGCATCCTCGTTTTGTGAGACTCCTACTCAATTTAGGAAAAAAGTTCTTACATTAATAGTAGGTCACTCATTATAAACAAATAAAAGCCAGCATTAAAAGTCTTGTTTTACTTGTTCTGTGGATCAATAAAATATTACTGAGATGAAAAAGAGGAAATAAGCAACCTGTCTACTACTAAGCTTTTTTGGGTCCATTCTTTATTACAATTACTCAGAGGGAAGAGATTCTTTTCCTTCATTTTAGAAATTAAAAAAAAAATCAAAGATAATATTGTTAATAATCATTCTGTACTACAACACTGTACATAAACACTAAATTATATCTATGTCTGCTTTAAGGTCAAGTAAAATCCAACTCCCAAATAACACTTGGAATTTATGAATCTTCAATTTGTGCTCAGCATTGTACCACACTGCTCAAACAACAAAAAATATTTTTATGGGATATTATGTGATCAGCATGTACAACTAGAGGAGCCTGATGTGTGCCAATCTTAGCTCTGTCACAGATTTAAATTTACTGCTGACATAAATTGAAATATCTATACTCAAATATCCACAGAAAAGGATCAAACTCATTTTTATCAAAGGAACATAGCCATACAGGTATAGTAGGAAAAGCCTCAGTCTGTCATAATGGAACTAAGTAAAAATTAACAGGCTAAAACTGTTCTTTAAATGCATACATTTTTGAAATAACAATTCCCAAGTGATGGAGTTGGAAAATCAAGACAAAGATTCCTGATCTACATAAAGTAAACACAAGAATAAAATTAACACTTTAAGCCACTCTTCTTGTAGATTCTCTTGTGGGCAGTGAGGATAAAAAGTTACAAAAACTTGTTTCTACAGAAGAGTATCTCAAGGAGTTTTAGGAGATGTTGGAAGTTCAACAAAACAAGCAAGGAAAATGTGTAATCCTTTGTCTACTAGCAGATTAGGGTTTGCAAAGCTCAAATAGGAAAAGAGGATTGGATTCTGTTTAGAAACAAGAGATACCAAGTTCAGATTATAGAATAGACCTTGAAGATCCATTATTTTAGTTGTCTACTTCTCAATTATTTCAATTTGCCTATCACTCTCCTGCTAAACGTGAGGTCATGTTAAATACCTGGTGGTAGTAAATTCAAAAGTGACTCACAGCTGACCTTCCACCGGGTTTTCAGAGGCTGTAAATGAATTGCAGGAGAAGAAATCACCCATGTTTCTACTATGGAAATGATAGCTAGCTGGGTATAAATTTGAGAGAAATAAGTTCATTTACCTCCTCTAAGTCTTGGGTTGCTGGCAACCCAAAGGCACCAAGTTCTATTCCACCTGGCTCTGAAACCCTGAAGGATCAGTTATGAGTCATGTTGACTCAGTTGTACATAACAAACCTTACTGCATAGAAAAAGAAATGAAGGTGTCTGAAGAGAGAGGTTACTTCTTAGGCCCAAAAGGAAGAAGTAACTTGCTAAAGCCACAAGATTAGGAAGTTTTCTTGAGGATACAAGGGCCTTTTAGACATTTTCTCTAAGACTTAAAAAAGAAAGTAAACAATGCTGTTATAATCAATATTTATTGAGTGCCTAAATTCTACATATGTAGTAGACACATTTACAAATATGTTTACAAAGATAAAATAACTCCAAATCTTAGTTCCAGGTTTTTGTAATATGGGGTTCTGAGAAGTTTAGGGTTTTCAACTAGAAAAACCAAGGTTCTACCATATAGGGCTAATTCCTTAATATTTGGAAAGTTATTTTACTTAACTTGCCTTCTTCCTCTATTAGAAAAGTTGTAGCAGCTACCAATCATAGGGTCGTTCTAAGGCCAAAAAGAATCAAGCAATGTTAGCAGCCACGAACACACAATAACCGGACTGGTAACATTGTTACCACTCGCGAGGCAACCGCTAACGTATAGTAAATAAACGTGGGAACGGAAGTTGAAACCACCATTCTCAGTGTAACCACGAGCCTGTCGATTAATCTCTTCTGACGACAGTTGATGTAGCTATGGATGATCAAGGAAATGTATGAGCGAGCGAAGTAGGCTTGTAAACAAACACTGCCACTGCGAAGTGAAGAGTGCTACAAGAAGTTCGGGGCTAAGTGCTCCGGGATGGCAGAGAGAGGCTCACCTCAGTTTCCCTGTTGATCTTAAGGAACTCAATGGGGAGATCAAATGCAAGAGACAGGCTGTACAAAGATCACGGGCACTGTTGTGAATAATGACTAGCGAGGCGGAGGGGGAACCCCTCGTGTCCTAGGACTGGATCTGGGAGGCAAGAGTGCGGGCCCCTGCTCGCCCCCACAGGGGGCGTTGATACTGGGGACCTTTCCTCAGGTGCCGACCCCCAGCTGCGCCGCCGGTAACCGACAGGCCACGGCAGTCGCCTCCGCCCCCACTTGGCGCGCCACGGCGGAAGTGGCAGCCCGAACGGTTGGCGGGTGTCGGAAGAGCAGGCCGGGGGACAGACCGTGCAAAGCGGCCTATGGCCGTGGAATGGCGGGACCGCCGGGGGTCTCACCTGAAACAGGGAGGGTCCTCCAACAGAAGCACGCGGCAAGAGCAAGATGGCTGCCTCAACGGAGACAGAGAAAGACGACGGCGGCGGGAGCGGGGTCCACGTGACATGACCGGTCCCGCCTCCCCATCGCCAGGGCGGCCTATCCGGGAGCATATGCCTGAACTACAAGGCCCAGCCTGCTCTGCGCCTCCCAATAGGAATAGGGCAGGTGCGAGGGTCCGTGCTGCATCCCGGAGTTTGCGCTCTCGCCTGTATTCCATTGTGTCCGTGTCAAGTCTGTATAAACTAAACCGAACTCAGACTGCAAGTCAATTTTGTTTCACAGCAACTGCACAGGACAAGAGTAGAACTGCACCCTGAAGAGACCATAGCTGACATCCAAGCAGATATATGCACACCCATGTTTATTGCAGCTTTGTTCACAATAGCAAGGATTTGGAAACAACCTAAGTGACCATCAACAAACGAATGGCTAGAGAAGCTGTGGTATATTGGCACAATGGAATACTATGCTGCATTGAAAAACAAGGAACTCATGCAATATTATTCAAAATGGTTGACTCTGGAGAACATTATGCTGAGTGAAATATCCCAATCACAAAAGGACAAATTTACATGATGCCACTGTTGTAGAATGGGACTAACCTCGGGGTTGGGGAGAGACTGAGTAAGATGGGTTCAATAATGTATATTGCACTGAAACAGGAGGGAGAAAACTGTTTAAAAGAGATATGTGACTAGGTATTTCTGTCATCACAGGAGTCTAGAGCGATGGTTCCATGGTGGAGGGGACCTGGGGGAGGGTTTGTAAAACAATGAAAGAATCTTTTCTTTTACTTTTCCATAATTTTTGTACTTAAAACTTGTTAGTTAAATTTGTGTCTTCTAGGTTACAACACCCCCATGATACATCTTCAAGGATATGAACATGTACGGCTAAGCACAATTAATAACAGTGCATCTATATTCCAAAATCAATCTCCATAATAGTCTATGTATTTCCTACTGCCAAAGGGGCCCTTTAGTAGTGAGAGAAGATCTTCACCCTGAAACCCACAGCATCCCTTTTCAGCAGGAAGTTGCGAAGAGAATACGCCATCCCCTTTTCCTTATGAATCAGGGTGAAGTCTCTCTCAGGGAGGAGTGATAGGGAATGGCAAAGGACACACTGACAAAGGAGATTAATCAGAACTGACTTTGACAAGCACTGTGGCAATTGGACAATTAAAACAGACATTCGGATGGCGGGGGAAGAAGAACAAACTGGGGAGGAGGGTAGAGAGAATGGTGCAGCAATGAAGGAATGAAAACCCAAAATCCCTGTAAATGTTCATTAAAACTAATAAAATTTAATAAAAAAAAAAAAAAAGAGTAGAACTGCGTCATGGGGTTTCGAAGGCTGTCAATCTTTAGGGAAGCCGACTGCCACATCGTTACCTCTGTGAACCAGCTGGTGGCTTCAAGCTGCGGACATTTCGGATTGCAGCCTAGCGCTTTAACTATTGTGCCACCAGGGCTCTCTACAATCTCTTAGGAGCCTAGTAAAAGTGTTAAATATATTTTTGCTTGAATGTATACTTTGATTGGGTTGCTTTTCATTATGCAATAAGTGCACACTGTTAGACCCAACTAGTGCCCACAGGAGAAGAAAATTTCGATCTATTTATTATGCAGCAAAGGAAAAGACTGAAGCGAAACACTTTCGGAATCGAAAATAACAAAAACATATTTACGCAGAAAATATACAATAACAAATATGTGACTTATGCCCTGGTTTCCTAGACTCTTAAGTCAATTTTGCAACAGGAGATTCCAACTTTGGTTTTCCTGAGGCTTGCATCAGTTGGTTGCATCATTTCTGAGTGGAAGAATTGCGGTTGCCGGGGTGGGGGTGGGGGGCGGCGGGGGAGCTGGTAAAAATAAAGCCCAGCGTTTATTCTCCAACGAGAAGGGACTATCCTGCAAAGCAAGAGACCTTGCACCGCTGAACATACTTCCTAGGACTCCTTGGAGGCCAGAGCAGGATCCTACCAGTGAAATTAAGTTGTCTAGTGTTTTATTTGAGAAGGATGACTTGAGGCCAAAAGGAAACCCGCCCACTGCAGCGAGAGAACACAGATATTTGCAATTTTAAATCTTGCACGCAGCGGCTCCGGCGGCGGGGGGGAGGGGTGCTCGCCTGGTGATGGATGGAATCCGCAACGGTTCTCAGAGTCCGCTCCTGTCCACCCCACCGGACACTCTCTCAGTCCAACTTCTCCTGTCGGCTTTCTCAGACCTGGACATTCGCGAAAACAGTCGCACTCCAGGGTAACTCGCACCCTTTCTTCCTACGTGACCTGCACCTTTAAATTTACTCTCTCCCAAACGGACGCCTGGAGGCACCACCCACATCCGTCTAACATCACTTCCTTCAGGGGTTGGGGGCAAAAATCTGGGAACGGGAAGGGTTGGGCTGGAAGGCGTTTGGAGAAGGCGCGCATCTTCCGCTAGGACGAGCGACCACTGCGCGCTCCCCGCCGCTGGCCCTGCGCGCTGGCCACCATGAAGCTGCTGTGTCCCCTCGGAGCCACCTGTTTGCTGGGCTTCAGTTTCGTGCTCGTCGCCACCTCTTCTGATGGACAGATTGGGCTTGGAAAGGGTCAGACCACATTCTTATCTTAATCTTTACTGATCCCTGCCTAGTGTAACCCCCACTTACCCTAACTCAGCCTTCTCCCCGTTTTATCTAGAAGGCCATACCAGGAGTTTGAGGGGTATTTCTGTGGGTCGGGAGTAGCGGATCGGGGAACTCTTTACTTGGGGACATTGTATTTGAGGCTACCCTAAATTCTAAGGCAAAGAAACGGTCCTTAAATTGAGGGGGGAAACATGCTTAAAGCCCAGCCTAGTGACTTGGTAGGCTCTCATGAAGGACCTCCTTCCTTTTTGGGAGAAATTATTGGTAGTTAGAGACCTGTACCTCTGCTGGGTCTGAAGATCCCCCTCCTCACCCTTGCAGGATGAGCTTGTCATGGCCTCTTTCCTTTAGGGGGACCGCATTGGCCAGGAGGGCATGTCAGGTAAGTAAGGAGGAATCCGACGAAGGGTAGAAGGTCTGAGGATAGAATCGCCAACAGTTGTCTTCCGTGTGATGCAAAATGTGAACTTTTCTTGAAGAGTGAGGGGACAGAGGTTTATGAAAGAAGTGCTGGGATTGTCACCATGTTTGCATCTCTGCTCCCTATCTCATCCTATCACATATCTTCATTCACCTTTCATCCCACCAACTTTTGCTTAGTTGAAAATTGGACTGGCTGTTCTGTGGGTTTGCTTTATGCTTTTCCAAGTGGATGGAAATCTTCCGTTTTTGTGCTATCTTGTGGTACAGGCACTCATCCGCAGTCTTACCAATATTTTTGATTCTTTATCCACAGTGTGCAGCATTGTCTTGGTGGGTATTGAGATGGATAAATGTTGAGTGTTGCTGAATGCAGTCTTCCTTTATTCAGTGTAGGCATACCTTGGAGAGAATTGCTGGTTCCGTTTCACATTGCCCAAGTAAAGCAAATCTTGCAAGTAAAATGAATGTTTTAGTTTCCTAGTGCATGTGAAAGTTATGTTTACCATATAGTCTATTAAATGTGTAATAGTATTGTGAAAGTTTGAAATACTGCAAGAAGTATAAATATAACTTAGAAACAGGATGTGAGCATATGCTGAACACCCATAGACTCGCTCAATGAAGATTCACTTGCTGAGTGCAGAATTGCCACAGACCCTCAATTTGAAGGAGAGAAGAGTGCAATACTTGTAAAAGTCTTTGAAACGGGGTATGATTGTAAATAGTTTGGAGCATATACCAGGTACAAAGGATACAGTGAACAAAACACATGACCGATGCTTTTATAGAAATTACATTCGAATCAAAGGGACAAAAGAGACAAAGAAATTATTTTTAGCTAAGGGTAAGTGCTGGAAAGGATATGAAACTGGAGTTGTTAGTTGTTGGGTGCCATCGAGTCAACTATGAATCCTCATGACCATATAAACAACGAAGCTGAACCCTGCCCTATCCGCTGCCATCCTCTTCATCTCTCATATACTAGATCCCATGGGTACAGTCTCTGTCCATTTTCTAGAGGGTGATGGAATAGAATGACTGAAGAGTACAGAGGCTGGCCATGCTTCAGTTAGTACGCTCAGGGAAGGCTTCTTGGAGGAAGTGATTTGTGAATTTCCGTCTCGGGTGCAGCTGCGTAATGAGTCATGTCTGATTTGTTTTAAATATCAAATACCCTCAAAAACCAGATTGCTGTGTATTTAGCATAAAAGTATAAGAACTCTCCCTAAGGGGTTTGATTTTTCAGTATTGAGGGAGAGGTAATTGTGGGTATGTATCTGAGATTGAATCTTTTCTGCCTCTTGCCAGCTGAGTTGCCTTATGCAAGTTGCTTAACCTCTCCAAGCTTCAGGTCTTTATCTGCCAATACCTTGGGAACACAAGAGCCATTTTCCTTAGTCTTTGCTAGAGATAAAGCTCTAAGGGTTTGTCCCTGTTATCGTGGCTGCACAGCAAAGCACTTCAAAGCCTAGTGACACAGAGAAACGATTCTATGCTCATGGTTCTGTGAGTCAGGACTTTGAACAAGGCACAGAGAAGGAGGTTTTCTCTTCAATGATTTTTGGGTGCTCACCTGAGCTGAGAGCTCTCTGTGTGGCCATTATATAGAAGGACTAGTTTAGGGAGGAGGGCTGATGGCACAGTGGTTGTGTGCTCCGCTACTAAGCAAAAGCTCTGCAGATGATAGTGATCCCCTCCTGTCAAGATTACAGCCTAAGAGACTCCATGTTGTTGTGAGGTACCATGGAGTCCCAGCTCTGTTCTGTCTTACAGGATCCCTGTGAGGGGGAATCGACTAAAAGGTACAAAACACCATAGTATGTATTCCAGAAGTGAGGGCTGCAAGAGAACAAGGCAGTGATACATGACACTTAGCTTCACAAATCCAATACACAGCATCACTTTTGTTGTTCCCTATTGGGACCATTTCAAAGGGGAAGCAACATAACCCCACACTCTAAAACACACTCAATGTCAAGGTCACATTATAAAAAAAAGAGTATGTGGGATGGCAGATATTGTTGCAGCCATCTTTGGAAAGGCTAGTTTGCCATTGTGAACCATGACCATTTCTGTCTTGTTCATGTTCAGGAATATCTGTTGAAAGAACAAATGAATGGTGAACAGGATTATTGTGATCTCTGACATTTTGCAGTTTAGAATCTGCTGAGATGGTGCAACAATGAATGAATGAAAACCCAAAATCTCTGTAAATGTTCACTAAAACTAATAAAATGTATTAATTATTTAAAAAAAAAAAAGAATCTGCTGAGATATAAAAGACAAGTAAGCAGGCAGTTACATGACACTGTGCTATGTGCAGGAGTCCCTGGATGGTGCAGCTGGTTAAGTGCTAGACTGTTAAAGATTAGTGCTGTAAACTCTTCCAGAGGTGCTTTGGAAGAAAGCCCTGGCAAGCTGCTTTCAGAAGGTTGTTTTTGTTGTTGTGTGCCATCGAGTCACTTGCCACTCATAGCAACCATATGTACAACAGCTGTGAACCCTACTTTGTCTTGAGCCAATTTTATTGTCTCTGACTCACCTACCCCCAGTACCCTAGTCACTGAGTCAATCCATCTCATCGAGGGTCTTCCTTTCTTGCGTTTTCCCTCCACCCTCCCAAGCATGTTGTTCGTCTTCAAGGACTGGTCTGTCCTGGCAACATGCCCAAAGTATGTGAGACAGAGATTCAAAACCCTTGCCTCCAAAAGCAGCCTGGTTTCACCCACTCCAGGACAGAGCTGTTTGTTCTCTTAGCAGTCATCCTTGGTATATTCAATATTCCAGCACCACAATTCAAAGGCATCAATTCTTCTTCTATCATCCTTAGGCAGGAAAACCCTACTGGATGCTGTTCTGCTCAGAAGCACGTGAAACACGTCACCATCATGGAAATTGATTCAACAGCAACTGGTAGCTGGTTGTGATGTGTGCCATGAGGGGAGAGAGGCTGTGTACTTCAGGAACATCTGTGAGGACACAGGAGGGCTGTGTTAAGAGGATTAGATGAAAAAGCAAAAAGCCTTTGTTAGATGTCAACTACTATTTCCTCCTGTGAAAGAAAATGGCAGAAGAGTTCTCTATGTCTGTTCTAGCTACTTTTGTTGCATAATATCTCAAAACTGTCTCAAACTTTTCTGTAACTGTGGATTCTTAGAAAGTCGATTATAACCTGCTCCTTACCTACCTCCTCGCAAAAGGGTTACTGAAAATGGTAGTTGTTGAAAATATTCACTAGAAAGCTGTTCACCTAGGAGGTTCATGTGATCTCCTACCTGAAGCAGAAATGGAAGACTACGTCAAGTCTCTGAAACAGAAAACCTGGTGCTACCATATATAGACTGTCTACCTTCCATATGGGAGGGATATTTTTGTCAGCCATATTTTGTGTTGTGAACACAGTAAATGACTGAGCCGGTATTCTAACCTAGGTCTGTTTGACTGCAGACAGACTTAATTTAGCCGCTGTTATTCTACCTCTCAGGTACAGTCTTCCCTGTTAGTGGCTTCACTGCCAGCTTGTTGACACTTGACCTTATCTTGTTTAGTTTTCATCACCTGGGAGGGGTCGGGGGAAGTGAATAGCTACTAGACAGAACAAAGTGCTTGAAAATTGTAATGTAAATGAAATGCTTAGAAATGGTTACTTTTTGAATCATTTTCAAAAATGCTTTAGGGAAGGAGCTGCAGGTAGGAACTTTTAGCTCCCTTTGCATGTAGCTGGCATAAATGGCTATCCTGGTGACACTTCAGCAAACTGGACTATGTTCAGGTGTTCCACATTGGCATGGGTGTGAGTATGAATTGTGTGAGGGAGTGGGGTGATTTTATTAACTCCGCACACACTGTGCCTCTTCAAGTTCTTTTTCAAGGGAAACAATAGAACCTGGGTTTCTCAGTTCTTAAGTCTCAGTCTTCTCATTCTGCTTTAGTGAAACAGCATTCCTTCCTTCATTTGCTTATTTAATCTTTGCAGAGGAGGCAGTAAAATGTAGTGAATGTTTAAGATGGAGACTTGTGAACGTGGGTTAGCATCCTAATTCTCTGAGGACTATGCCACCAGAGTTCCCTAGTAGAGAATCCACAAAAAAAAAGGGGAAACCTTCGACAAGATGACTGGCACAGTGACTACAAGAGTGGGTTCTCACACATAGCCATGAATATAAGGATGGCACAGGACAAGGGAGTGTTTCACTATTGTGTGTAGATGGGTCACTGAATTGCAACTCATTCTACAGCACCTAACAATGTATTTTTCAGTCATTTTACTTTAAACTTTTAATTCTGTTTGGTATATTCTGATAAATCATAGATTTTAAGCATAATAATAAATGTCACAGAGGTAATTTTTTTTTTTACATGCATCTGATAATTTTTGTGTTTTAACTAGTTGGCCAGTTCAGTCCACTTAGTTTGATGTGTTTGTTGACAGAGCTAGTCTTGTTTCTCTCAACCAATTTCCATCTCTGTCATTTTACCTTTTCCGTTTTCTTCTTTTTTTGGCCCATACTCAGGGACTTGAACATTTTTTTGTTCTT